GCAAATTGGATAAATAAACTAAAATTTCTTACTGGGGCCTGAATTATTTTACTGAACTCATGAATTAAAAATAAGAATGTAACAAATATCAAACTAGGTTAAATAAATTGTCCATAGAGCACAGTATTTTATGGAAAAGCATGTTATTCATTTGCCATGTCATTGATCTACCTTGAACATTCATTAGTGATACATTACATATCAATTTTCTACAAATCAATTTTCTTCAAAGACCTTCTTTGATCCCATTTCTATTTTCAGTCAGTAATACCTCTTCATTAATGAGTTTTTACCTCTTGTGTATACTTCACTTCCATATTTCAATTGCTGTGTAAACTTTTCTTTTCATAATACCTCATAGAGTACACTAAAATTTTGAATATGTGTTTAGCTTTTCCATTTATTTTTTTAAAATATTTTTTTATTTATTTCAGAGAGGAAGGGAGAGAGGTAGAAACATCAGTGATGAGAGAGAATCATTGATTGGCTGCCTCCTTCATGTCCCAGACTGGGTATCAAGCCCGCAACCCAGCCATATGCCCTGACTGGGAATATAACTGTGACCTCTTGGTTCATAGGTTGGTGCCCAACCACTGAGCAATACCAGCTGGACTATCCATTACTTTCTTCCTTTTTAAAAATCTTATTTTCAAACATGTCTTACCTTTCTCATTAGAAGACTATAAATCTTCAACCGATTTTATGTCGAAAATGTTACATCCTTTTGCTCATTTATAATCTAAACTAGTTTCTCTGTGATGTCCTTTATGATGAAGAGCAATGAGAATTGTGCAAACATTTCTAAGGAGAGTGATGACAATTTTATTTACAGGTAATATTTGTTTTATCACCATATAAGGATGATGGACATTTTGTTGCCTTCATTGTTACAGCAGCACATTTAATATATATATATTAAATATATACACACACACACACACACACATATATGCACACACACACACACACACACACACGCACCCCACAGTCTCTGAGCCCAGGGCAGTAAAGAGGTCTCGGTGGTACAGGGAGAGCCCGGGACATGTTTGTCTCCGATGGAACTGGGGTAGGGTTGCCCCTGCAGGCGCCAGACCAGGGCCAGGGATCAAGTCTGCAACCCAGGTATATGCCCTTAACTGGAATCAAACCTGGGATCTTCAGGCCACACTCTACCCACTGAACCAAACTGGCCACGGATACAGCAGCAAATTGAAATTTTTATCTTGAGATAACATGTTGGTATTCTTTTGCTTAATCTCCATTATATTTTGTTTTAAATGGATTTCCCAAACCAAAATACTCCTAACACCTTTTACCCTGCTACAAATCACATATTGAATGTAATATACTACCCTCCCATCACAGATTTATATTGGTAGTACCTCTGAGCTTATGCACTTTTAACATTCTTTGAACTCTTTTTTTTAAAAAATATATTTTATTGATTTTTCACAGAGTGGAAGGGAGAGAGATAGTTAGAAACATCGATGAGAGAGAGACATCGATCAGCTGCCTCCTGCACATCTCCCACTGGGGATGTGCCCGCAACCCAGGTACATGCCCTTGACCGGAATCGAACCCGGGACCTTTCAGTCCACAGGCCGACGCTCTATCCACTGAGCCAAACCGGTTTCGGCTGAACTCTTATATAATAGTGTATTGACCTGTATTTGTTAGTATGTATGTAATTCATCCTTTTAGAAATTCCCTTCAATCCTAGTAATAGACGTTTCCCTTAGATGTCTGCATATGTATTGCATACTGCTTGTCTTGGTAGAGTCTTAATTTCCAGAAATATAAAGCATATTTAAATGATTTTGTCTTCTCCTTTCTCAATGCCTTCTTTGTGCCTTTTATCTTTGTTGACTTTTAAAGTTTTGTCTGACATAGTTATCAATAAATTTAATTGATAATTTCAAATTGATGCATTTGAAATTATTTTTTTCATAATACCTGCAATATATAATTTATGCATATATCTTCTGTCATGACACCCAAGTTCGTTCTCTTTAAAATTGTTTCAGCCAGCTTGAATATGTAGTTTTTACTTGGACTGTTTTGAGAACAAATAAATCGGAACATTTAATTATTCTGTCAGTAGATGAATCTTTTCTAAATTATGCCAATGTGATATATTAAAAATATTCAGGTTTAAGGAGTACACATTAAAACTAAATGTAGATTGCAGAGACAGTGCATTATTTAATCCTAAAAATCATATTTAATGGTCTATGTATGCACAGAAATCTTTGTACATTAACTATGTCTATGAAATATGCCAAGAAAATAATATTTAGGGCTTATCTTACTGGAATAGTATTATCAAAAATGGAAGTTAAATGGATAATAAAGGAATGAGATGGGGCACTGTGAACACTCGTGAGTTGCTCTTAGAGCATACCTCTTCCTTAGGGTACCAGCAGAGAACCATTTTACCCTATGTGTGAAGACAGAAGCTTACCTTCTATTTTCCTCAAGTTAACTTGTGGTTACTTCCAGAACTGAGATGTTTTAGGACTAATGTGTGTGTACCTGGTTCAATGCATTAATAGCATTATTAAAATGGAAGTCAAATGTCATACCTTCTATTTTCCTCAAACCTATGATTACTTCCAGAACTGAGATGTTTTAGGACTAAAGGATGTGTACCCAGTTTGGTGCATTATTAATGGAAAAGGGAAAAAAAATCCAGGAAATCTGACATACTGTATGGGGGTGAAAAAGACCAGAACCAGGACAGAATTAGCTTCTGTTCTTGACTGGAGACATTGTTTCCTTTGCTAAGTTTCATGGAACTTACTAAAGGGGATTCGCAACTATCTCGTGTGGTTGTCCCCTCCAGGCTGCCATGGTATCATTCCATAGAATAATGATGACATGGACAAGGTGACTATAAAGGGACACACATAAACTGATCTCTCTTCTCTACAGATGACAAAAATAGAAAGCTTTGAGCAAGAGTGGAAAGGCACACTGTCACTTGTCTCCCCCCTGCCCCCCTCCCGAAGAAGCTGGGCCACATTCTGCTCAGCCAACACGTTCCCAGAGGAATGTGATTTAACTTCCACTTTTCGCACTGCAAGAAGCAACACTGTAGACCTGTCGGGAGGGTGATGGCAGCCTGGGAGGATTTTGGATAAGTGTTTTACACTCCAGTGTTTTCATGTGACCTGACTTTCATTCTCAATTTAGTTACATCTTGACCTGGAAAATGTAGCCACGGGTTGCCTGTCTTCCTTCAGCTTACCCTGATCATAGTGTGCATCCCCCTTCTCCGCTCACTCCCACCCCATGCAGCCTCTACCCCTCCCCCTTGAAACCTTCTAATAGAGCCTTTCTCTAGATGTCTCCACGGGTATTTACTCTGCTTCCTTCAGAAGGGTCTTTACTTCCAGGGAGAGAAAATGCATTTGCGTCCTTGAAATACATAGAAGGACTATCCACCTAAATCAGTCTTAGTGGTTCCCCAGATCTGACTTTGCATATATCTAGCAGCTGTTTAAGAACCCTATTGTAGTAAAGGAATTAATATTCCCCACTTCTCCCTGGCACCCCCCCCTCCATTAAATGACTGATTTTTATGCATGAGATTATAGACAAGCCTTGGGTGACCTGTTTTTTTTTTAATTTTTTTTTCCTTCCCCCTCCCTCTTTTTTTCCTTGCGGTAAAATAGTGCTGAAGAAAGAGGGCACTAGTGTACAGCCCAGATCGCATCCTTGCGCCGTCTGGATTAGAGCTGAGGCGTCTGCTACCCGCGCGTGGCGGCGGTCCTCTGACCCAGGGACCATAGCGCTGTCTACCCGGATTCAGGTACGTCTCAAGTCCAAAATTCTCCAAGCCGACTCAGGTAAGCAGAAACCTCCCGGCGCTGAAACCCATCCCAGTGGCAGACAGTCCCAATCTATGGGATTTTCCTTCTGGTCCCAGGGGCACCCTCGCTTATTTATTTTAGTCCTACATCCCGGGAAGTACTGGAACCCATGGATGCCTGGGTTGTCTTCCTCCTTTTGCCTGCCTCACCCCACATGCTCCTTTAGCTCCTTTCTTCTCCGACTCTCACCTTGAGAAAGGAAGCCAGGCAGGGACGAGAGAGGGAGCCAACTTCAGCCCCAGGAGCGGCTGGAATTTGGCGCTCCATCTTATGAGTAATGCTGCAGAAGGTAAATAAATATGCTTGCAAGAGCACTGATGGCAGAAGGAAGAGAATGAGGACTGAAGGGTGGTGAGGAGGCGAGGGGAGGTGTGTGTGTGTGTGTGTGTGTGTG